GAAATTCTTAGGGTCTCCTTGGTTTCAATTCTAAGGATAAACCTAAGAGATTGAAGAACAGGTCCTTTAGAAATCCACAAATAAATCAGGGTTTCAGTTCACCTGGGCTAAAAGAAAAAAAAAATAGAGAACACCAAGGAATCAAGAGGATAAGGTTTGAATCTTCAAAGAAACTCCTAGTGCTTTGAAGAAAGAAGAATGGAACAGTAGAGTTTTTTTTTTTTTTGATAAGTTAGAACAGTAAAGATTTTGAGAACGGGGCAACAACTCGTGTTCTGTCCAGTCCAGATTGATATTTATATAGAAGTTTGAAATAAAAGAGAAATTACAAAAGAGCCCTTAACTAGGTGGGCTGAGAAAACAAAGAAGATATAAGGATATTTGGCCAGGGCCCATTACAAAAATAAAACATATATTTCAGCCAACAATAACCTTATGTCTCACAACAGAGGCCTTACCATTTACCTTCTATGGGTGGTTACAAATACTTTATTTTGTTTATTGACTATTTTCCGGATATACATGGATTTGTTTGATGCGTTCTCATGATTAGGATCCAAAATTAATAAACAATTCCATGAACTTGTTCTCACTTAGTTTAAAACTTATATCAAAATATTCCGGTTTGATAATGATAGGCCCCCAATTATCCTCACGTATGCCAGGAGAGGGAAAGGGCAGCACAAGCCAGGTCAGCAGTCGGTTGAGGGAAATGTGTAGATATGCCAGCTGGGCATTGCTAGAGGGAGTTAGTTATGATATCAGGAGGGAATATTCTAAAGGGAGTTAGTTAGTTATGATATCAGGAGGGAATATTTCTGGAGGGAATTAGTTAGGATGTCAGGAGGGAATATTTCTGGAGGGAGTTAGTTAGGATGTCAGGAKGGAATAATATATGGGAATTTCTGGATAGGGGGAGGGGGTGTGTGCGGTGAGAAACATTTTGAGTGTTTTGGGAGAGCCAGCGGTCTCTCGAAGAACCGACCACTGTTATTACTCTCCATTGAATGAATACAAGTTTCTTTTCATTTGGGCGGTGTATTTTCACTAAGTGCCTGTGAATTGTGTGTGAGATTTCCGGGACATATCAGGTTACAAATACTTTATTTTGTTTATTGACTATTTTCCGGATATACATGGATTTGTTTGATGCATTCTCATGATTAGGTTCCAAAATTAATAAACAACTCCATGAACTTGTTATCACTTAGTTTAAAACTTATATCAAAATATTCCGGTTTGATAATGCTAAGGAATACTTTGTGAAGGGTCTCTCTCTACCTACCTTGAAAACTTGGGGGTTATTCATCAGAGTTCTTGTTCTGCACCCCTGAACAAAACAGATGGAAAAATCGGCATATTGTTGAGATTGCTAGAAGCATTTTATTTTCCTCCCATGTTCTTGTAAAATACTGGAGAAATGCGGTTCTTACTTCAACTTATTTGATTAACCATTCACCTTCAAGGGTTCTTGGGTTCAAATCCCCTTTTAGTCTTTTTTTTTTTTTTTGTGATGAGGATGTGTTCTCTATCCTTCTGAAAATGTCTGGTTGTACTTGTTAGGTTACAGCTAGGAAATGTATCTTCTTTGATCCTCCACACAAAAGGGTTATTGTTGTTATGGTCCTCTTAGTGACACCTGTTTTGTTTCCATGGATGTCATGTTCCTTCCAAGGGACTACTTTCTTTGATATTCCTCTTCTAGCTCATGTCCCTTGTGATTTCTAGTAAGTCAACAACACCGATACCAGTTCCACCAGTTCCATCTTCTTCTCATGTTCCCTCTTCTCCTATTGATTGTTCTACCATCCTCTCAACATCTACCACCCAATGGATGAAGGCATATCTTTGCCACAGACATGGGGAATTTGTTCCCCCTAACATGGCAAGAGCCTCTTGCACCTCCCATTACTGATGAAGCAACAGATCCAGCACCTTCCTCATTCCCTTCCCCTAATGTTCCTAACCTTGACCTTCCCATTGCCATAAGAAAACATAATTGTAAGTGTACTGCACTGAAACCAGCCTATCAATGTTCCAATATTTGTTCTAAAACAGTCTTCTCTCTCTTTCCAAATGATCCAGCAGACAGCAAAGGGAATGCAACTCCACACTACTTTGTCCTTCAAGCTTCCTCAGAACTTTGACCAAAAGATTAGTACAATTTTCAGATGAAAATAGCAATCTTACAGGAGAAGAATAAGTGCTAAAATGATTCCTCCTGCTCCTAACACGCAGCAAAAACTAGCCAAGTTGAATGCTTTTCAGATGATCCGCTGTTGGAATACTATCCATTGCAACCAGCCACGTGAAGGCTTCCACTCTTGATAGAACAGGGTTACCCCAAACACCTAGAACCTGTCTTGTGTCCATCTGGTTCCAAATTAATGCTGAATTAAAGAACTTTACAGAGATTTTTTTTTGAGAAAAGGTAAGGTATTATTTGTATTAATTAAAGATCCTGTGTACAATGAGTAGCTGTACAAAAAAAGGACCTCGAAAAAGGGCACCCTCAAAAAAGTATAATGAGAAGTATTATCTTTAAATTCAGAATGCAAAGACATCCAACTCCTAACAGCCTCTACAGCCAAATTAATGACCTCAGCTTCAGTAGCTGTTCTATTCTCAAAAATCCTTTTGTTCCTTTCTGACCACAGCCACTTCCGAAGGGATGGAAGACCAGTAGATTTTCCCTTTCTTGGTTAACCCAGGTAAATGCCACTCCAATAGAGCTTTAACTGAGACTGGCATGCACCAATTTAGGTTCAGAGCTTTCAAAAAATGATTCCAAACTGCTGAGCTAAACTTGCAGTGAAGGAATAGATGCCCAGAGGACTCCATCTCCATATTGCATAAACAGCACAATAAGTCTGAAATGTTAAATCCTTTTTTCAGCAACATCTCTTTGGACAGGCACCTCTCCAAAGCTGTCACCCAAACAAAGAACTTGACTTTTGAAGGAGCCATGTTCCCCCAAATGGCCTGCCTGGGAAAAGGGACTTCAATCTTCCCCACTAGAAAATTGTAAAAGGATTTAACTGTGAATTCTCCTGACTTGGTCCACTTCCAAACTCTTGAGTCCTGCAAATGATGAATTAGCTGCTGGTTTTGTAACAGAGCAAGGAAATCTGCTATCTGCTGAATCTCCCAATCATTAAAACCCATCCTAAAGGAAGGAGGCACAGTCTACTTTCATTTAACATGAATGAATCAGCCACTAAAGCTTCCGTTTCTGAAGTCACATTAAATAAGGCAGGGAACAACTCTTTTAGAGTGCTGTCACCAGTCCAATGGTCTAACCAGAATCTGATTCTTCTTCCATCTCCCGCTTTAAATCTGATGCAGCTATTGAACTGCTTGGATGCTTTACAGATTCCTTTCCACACACCACATCCATAAGTCAAAGAGGATAAATCAGCACCCCACCCATTATTCCTTAAGCCATATTTCTCCTCTATAACCTTCCTCCAAAGCTTGTCTGTTTCAGTTGAGAATCTCCACAGCCAACTTTCCAATAAGGCTAGGTTGAATAACTTTATATGTCTTATTCCCAGACCTCCCCGTGACTGGAGCTTGCAGATTTGCTCCCAACTCATTAGATGGTACTTATGGGAATCTTTCCAAAGAAAATTCCTCATCTTTTTTTTCCATTTCCTCTGCGACTTCTGAAGGAACAGGAAAAAAGTCAAAGACTCGTGGCTAGTACACTTCTGATTAGAGTAACCTTGCCACCTTTAGAGAGGTACCTTGACTTCCAAGCTGCCAGTTTTTGGTCCATCCTTTTTAGGACTGGACTCCAAATAGCTTTAGAGGTGCATTTGGCACCAATCGGCAGCCCCAAATAATTTGAAGGCATCCTGCCCAGCAGCCCAAGAGATCAGCCAGGCTCTGGAAATTAGGCACCTCCCCGACAGCTAACAATTCACTCTTTGCTAGATTTGCCTTCAACCTGATACATTTCAAACCAGAAGAGTAAATATTTCAGGTTTAGGATCAGGTCCTCAGATGCATTGCAGAAAAGGAGGGTATCATCTGCATATTGCAAAATGGGAATTTTTGTCCCTCTTGAACCTACTTCAAAAATGGGAATTTTTGTCCCTTTTGAGGCCCTACCGACCAATTTACTGAAACCTTCCATCACAATTAGAAAGAGCAAGGGTGACAGTGGATCTCCTTGTCTCAAACCTCTGGAACTATTAAAATTTCCTTTTGCTGACCCATTTAATAAAATTGAGAACCTTGGTGTGGAAATGCATACTTTTATCCAGCTTCTCCACTTTGATCCAAAATGCATCCTTTCCAACATATAATTCAAAAAAGCCCAATTTACAGAGAGTTTCCCATCCCTACATCCTTCCACCAAAGTTCGTCTCTTGATGAACTTGAAACCTTAGATTGTTCTAACTTATCCAGCAGCAAAATGCACTCATCCACCTCCCAATCAAGAAGCAGCCTTCTAAATTTGGGGTACCAGACCAACGGTTCACCTCTCATCTCACAGCATTGATGAATACTAATATCCTGTTCAGCCAGATTATAAAGCGTCAGGCACAGCTCACACAACTTTCCAACTCCACACCAAACAGATAAATGGAAGTTCCCCAATTTGACATTCGAAAACAGCAACACACTCTTCAAACACTTCTCTTCTTATTTCCCCAACTCCAATCATGACACTCTTGGACAAGTTCACTTTCAAGCCTGTCAGCAATTCGGACTTGCCAAAAATAGCTCTTAAGTTCAAGACCTGTTCCACCGATGCTCTATTCTATTACCAACTTGGTGTTATATAATAAAAAACAATGTTTTGGGAGTTCCAAAAGTCATGACCTCTATTGTACACACACACACACACACACAAATATGTATAAGCCTCACATGTCTCACATGTGAGTGTATAAGAAAGAACACCTTCAGTTACATTCAACCAATGAATAATGACACTGACAATAGTAGGAAGTTTTAAATCAAGAGGATCTTAAACTAGAATAAATGAGTACCTTCAAAACATATGTTCTCTCCCTCACGATCACAATCCAGCCACAATACCAGATGCCCACAACCACGTGCTTCTTGACTTAAGTGCCTACAAATATGAGCCTTATTTCCACAACAAAGTAACATATATCAGAAATAATGTAAAGTTGTAAACTAAGATGTTAGGGATAACATAAAAATCAGATTGCATAGAACTAGAGTGTTAAACACTGTGCACCAGTCACCCACAAATACTTTCTGGATTTCTTGACAACACATAAACTTGAGGGAAACAACTTTAGAGAAAAGATTTCGTTTCTTGATTTTGAAGTTCTGTAGCTGGCATTAAAATAGAATTGCAATAATAAATTAAAGAGAAACAGGTGGGCTTAAAGTTGGATGAATTTAACGTGGGAATATAGGTTGAACAGCAAGCTCATGAACAATCCATTATACAACAGCAAGAAATGATGTATAAGAATCTAGTGCATGCTACCTCAAAATAAGCATTTTTTAGAAGGATGAAAAGTACCAAAATTTTCACCTAAATACTTGTAACTGCCTGATGGTGAAGTAATTTTCATACCAACTAGTAACAAAGCGAAACATGGACTACAGAATTTTTCATTGTCTAATAATACATCTATTACCATAACCAGAAGTGTTCAGAATCTAGAATATTCAAAACATAAAGAAGTCAAGAACACCACCAAAATTGATGTTCAAACAGAGAAGGCCAACAGCAACATTTGTAACAAAAGCCTTAAATAAGTTTAACCAAAAGAAGCATGCTATGAACTTTAAAATATAAAATAGAAATATATAAAATTAATCAATAATCTAGCAAAAAAGAAATACCTTTGGGTTTGATTCCGTCTTTTGAACTGGCGCCTGGAAAAGATCCAGAGGATCTGTAGCTTCCCAGTTTTGATAGGTTGGTGGAAAATCTACACTATATTTCCACAGAGGAAAAACCAAATCAACCCACAGGAAACTAAACAAGAAATGATGGCATGCAATCACCTAAAATTATCCCAGCTGTCAGCATTCGGATTTAACAATGGTTGGTATTATTAAACTCTTTACCCAACCAGAGGCAGTATACAGAAAATTATGAATATTAATCTTATTACAGAATCCCTAAGAACAATGATACTAACCTGTGTAATGAAATAAAGGCTCAAATTAGACTAATCAATATGCCCCACTTTTCAGTCTTGGAAACAAGACAAATTTTAATGGTTATCAAGGGAAATATGACAAAAATAAATTAGAAACTCATTCATAGAAGTATATATGTAATGGGAAGCTGCTAAATGGATCATTTAGTGTAGCAATGATGCAGGATGGGAAGGAGAAAAGTTATACTGGAATGACTGTAATGGACATAAAATATGAGGAAAAATTAAGGATATGAATCATGACAGGAAGAGACTCAGATCTGAAATAGAAAATAGAAAGAGAAGAAATAGTACACATTTAGAAGATCATGCTATTACCCGCAAGTAACTTCAAAATAAATTCTTATGCCATTAACTCAACTCTTGAGTTTCAATTACAATAACTCCACTAATAGGACTTTTTTCTTTGATAAATCCACCAATAGGACTTTCACACCATTTCATCCCAATATTTACATTTTCATAAAGAGAACAGGAAAAATCACTACCTTAGCATGAATTTTTAAAAATAAATTATTCAAACACGCTTTAAAAATCACTACCTTAGAATGAATTTTTAAAAATAAATTAAAAATCACTACCTTAGAAAAATCAGATTACAGGGTTACAGCATATTAGGGGCTAAGAACAGATTTTTATCGATGTCCCTTTTAAAGCAAAACAAAATAAGGACCTGAAGACATGCCCAATGACAGAAGTCACTTTGTAATGCGCACGAACACCCAAAAATGTCCCATCAAATTCATGAACCTCAGTACTACCTTTCTGAGAAGAAACCTGTAGCAAAGTATATGCACTGTAAGTAACAAGTAACGTCAAAATCCATCTGAAAAAAAAAAATACATTCCAAAGAATGGAAATAAAAAATAGGATCTTAAAATTCAAAAGGAGAGAGAACTTCAAAGAAAAWTCAATATCATACTAGAAAACATGATTGAGAACTAGGTTCATGTGATGCAGTATAGTAGAACTTAGATATCAAATAACAGATATATCATAATCTCCACAATGCAGGTTCATGAAGAATCACAACATTCTGGAAAATCAAAAGTAAGAGCTCTGTTGCAGGACAGCCAACAGCATCACATAAGACCATTAGTTCAATCGTGAGGGATACGCCCAGCATCCCAACAAAACCATTTTTTCTTTTTTTTTTTTATGCCACATATCCCCAACAGTTGCCGATTAAAATTAAATACTAAAAGCACATTCTCCACCCCCCCCCCCAGGGGGAAAGCTACATCTCAACCCCTAGGCATGCCAAATCACAGTGTGTGTACTATATACCTCTCTGTGCAAACACAAGTAAGATTTTCTCCCTCGCCACTCCTCAGTACCTTCTTTTTTATCGATAACAGCAAACTTAATTAATAATTCAAGATGAAAAATATACAAAAAGTGGAGAGGTAACCTTTCTTAACTCTCTCCTCACCACCCTTAATACAACAATGACAATTGAGCCCAGAACAAATGACTTCTTCCCACCCCTTGTTTTGCTAGAACATCAGCAAAAGCATTAAAAGTTCATTTGACCCAACTAAATTTCACCTCCATATTTTGTGTCAGCCACTTAATTTCTTCCTCTCATCATTGAAAATACAGAAACCATTTCCCTCCTTTTGCAGAATCCACTACCAGCTTCGAATCACCTTCTATGATCAGCTTACTCAAATTCATATCCCTTGCCTTTTGCAGTCCCTCCATAACAGCCAGAATCTCAGCCCATAGTGAGTCACCCACTCCAATTGGACCTGAGAATTAACCAATAACTCTGCCTTCATTTCTAAAAACACCTCCAATGCCAGAGGGACCTGGGTTACCTGCACTACTCCCATGAAAATTTAACTTGAATTCCTTTCTTCCCAAATTGTCCAGCTCACAGCAGCCCTTAAGCACTTCCACAACACTCTTCCCCTTTTCTTAGGCCACCTCCTAAAGAAAGTAGTAGTAAACAGGCTTTGCAAACTAGGCAGGGGAGCCACCTACACCCAAACAACAAGAAAAACCATTCCCAAACAAAAATAACAACGGGGTACAAGATTAATAAGTGAAAGAAAGCTTTTCCATTATCCTAACAACAATTTTCTTATTTGTTTGGGTTCAATTGACACACAAGTCAGTGACATATCTTGAACCCTTTAAGATTTTAAAACCTGAATTGATAAGTAAGAAATAACTTGAAGGTTTTATCCAATTGACACAAAAAAAAATCAATAGAACTTTTTTGTTTTGAAGATAAATACAGAAAAAATCTTTAAATGAAAAAAAAGGTACAAGAGTAATAGGAGATGAAGGATTGCCCAATATTACAAAACAAAAGAAAGAAACAAACAATACAAACAGAAACTAACAGCCTTCAAATACATATGCTTTTGGCCTGGGTATTGTTGTATTTTCTCCTTTCTGTTTGAATAAATTTATGTTACCTTTTCAAAAAATAAAAAATAAATACATATGCTTTTGATCCCATTAAGACAAGACAAGTTCAAAGAGGACCAAAGATCAGCTCCAAAATTTCCTTCTTGAGATCCTTAAACTTTGGAAGAATCAATACCCAGTAAATCAATCTCCAGCCAATGGAAGCGCATAGCCTTTCCATACTCTTCTTGTCCATAAATATTCTTCTATTTCATTCTTCCCACACCTCGCAACAAACCGCAAAAGGAATACAGCTCCACATGACTTTTGTTTTCTTGCTACCATTCACCACTGATCACTTCTCAAAACTTTCTTTGGGCAAACAAGGATCCCATCCACCCATGTTAAAGAGACAAAAGAAAAAGAACCAAATACTTATTGTGTAAATGCAGTCAACCATCAGATGCATAACATTCTCAGTATCACTTTCACATAATGCACACCAATTTGCAAAGGTGAAGCCTCTTTTGTTCAAATGGCCCTGAGTAAGAATGCTGTGTTCATCACCACCAGCCAAGCAAAATCCTCCACTCTAGGAGGAATTAGATTGGCCCACATTCCTCCCACATGATGTCTCTTCATCTGATTTTGAGCCAGGATTTTATAGGACTATGGAAAATTTCACACTTCTTCATCATCATCTTCTTCTTCCTAGGACCAAAACAAGGGCTTAGCCTTTATGTTTTGTATGTTTTCTTTCCTTTCTTATTTTTCTTCTCATAAATATGTTGATTTTCTATCTTTTGATACGGGATTTATACTTATTTCACGAGGATTGTGGTAATTATTAGTTAAAGATCATTGTTTATTACTATAAAACCTAGGGAACTACCCTAGGATTTGTATATTTCTATTTTAAAAAACTCATCACCTGGGCAGCGTCAAGGCAACCGCCTAGGAAACTAGGCGATAAGGCATTCCCCAATCGCCTAGATTTGCCTTGGCACCTTGAAAACTATGGGCAAGTATCCTATCCAGTGTGGCAGTCCACATGAAGAAAGACATCTTGGAGGACCTTACCCCAAAAAATCCAACACCACAGGAAGAGATCATGAGCTCTTCACTTCAGTGATTCATAAAATGAGCTAACACCATAAATGCACTACTGGAAAATGTAACTGAACATCTCTTGCTCACCAAGGTGTGAAATGAAATCCTAAACATCTCTTGCTCATAACTAAGTTGCAAAACAGGGTTACTGATAACAGTAGGTGACCAACTACAGCATTTAGGAGACGCACATGGGACTGGGAATGGCATATGACCAAGTACCACATCTTTGCATGGTCTTCCCCATAACAAATTAAGCTTACCTGGTGAAACTAACTAGCATGTCACTTTCTAACAAGAAAAAGTTCTTGCGCTCATTCCTTTGGCGTGACTTTCTAAGTGTCATGATAAAGAGAAAATAGTAAATAAGTCCAGAAACTTCCAAATACAGTTATAAAAGGTTGATCGGATCCCAAAGTAAAGACAGAATAACAAACATAATAGAGTCTCCCAATCTAGAATATTCCTCAATTTTAGCCATTTTCAGGAGTGTCAGAACACTCATCACTATTACTCTTCCATTCCAAGGAAGATCAAGTCCTTCCTCACTCAGCTCTCAATTCAGAAACAATCTCAGCTCTCTAGATTATCAGATCGAGAGACTTACGGTCACTTTTCAGTCCCAGCTTCCTAACCACCGTACCATAGTAAAACTTCACTCCAACAATGCAAGGAGAAATATAAGATGGTTTTGGCCATGTAGAACAAACACCAATAAATGCACTACCTTTAAGCAATATGAAAGTTCTACAAAGACAAGGGCAATGCCAAAAGAAACCATTTAATAACTCATTCTTCATATCCTTCAAAAAAAAATAAATAAAGATATGGTCCATATGGATATGAAGAGAGCTGGAGTTGGATAAAGCAGGCAATGATCTTGATGATGGAATATATGTCAAATGTGCCAGAGCTGGAGAAATATAAGATGGTTTTGGCCATGTAGAACAAACACCAATAAATGCACTACCTTTAAGCAACATGAAGGTTCTATAAAGACAAGGGCAATGCCAAAAAGAAACCGTTAAATACCCCATTCTTCATATCCTTCAAAAAAAATAATAATAAAGATATGGTCCATATTGATATGAAGAGAGCTGGAGTTGGATAAAGCAGGCAATGATCTTGATGATGGAATATATGTCAAATGTGCCAGATTAAAGTTCAAAGTGCTTATTTAAATTAAATAATTATTTAAAATCAGCAATGTTCTGTCCTTTTACTTGTAAAGGGAACTAATAACTATAACAGAGCATGAAATTGAAAACGATTATTCACCAATACCCAATTCTAGGGTTTCAGAATTACTGAACAACAAGATTATAGGACTTACGCGACCGCCTGAAAGTGCAAGGGCAATAGAGAGAGCAATGCTAGGTTTCTCTGCGACCTGCAAACAAAGAGGGAAAAAAGATGATGTTGGAACCCATAAAGCAGACCAAGTAGAACAACTGGAACACTAACAATAAACCCCCTTTTACGGTGTGGGTCTGTGTGTGTGTGTGAGAGAGAGAGAGAGATCACCATAAGGACCTTCGCGGCCATTTCCACAATCCAAATAGATCTGTACTCTGTAGTAAGCGATATCGCTTATTTGACAGACAGACAAGGCCGTCACATCAAAACCACGCGAATCAAATAGAAGTTGGCCATTCTAACTATTTGCAGGTTTCGAAGCTGCCGTTGTTTTTTTGTTTCATGGAGCACAACGGGACTGAGGTGCCGTGTCATCATGAAAATTTTGGCCGTTGTGTTCTCTACTTTTGTCCCTCAAAGTCGAAACCTGGGACTGCAATTTGGGCCGGGTTCACCTGAACCCAAACTGAAAAAGTCAGGGTTGGGTTGAGTTGAGTTGGGTTGGATCGACAATTGGATTAAGGTTAGGTTGACTTTTCCAATCGACTTCATGTGGTAAGGATTGACCGCTCCGGAACCCGATAGCTCTACTACTGTTTTTTTTTTTTTTCGCTTTAGAATTTTTCCTAATTACTTAGAAAAACCCATTCATCTTCAATGTTCGACCCGTAGCACCATTAAATGGTCTCTTAACATGAGAGAAAGAAACATAATGTAAACCAGAGGCTATTTGCTTAGCATTCAGAAGAAGATGTTTCCATGGCCAAGGAGCAATTGAATCTTGGGATAGACAATCGCCCTGTATAAGCATATTTCCTCGTCAAATCCGATTAGCCACCTTTACAGCTAATAATATCCCTTCCATCTCTGCATCCCCTCCAAGTACTAAACATGATTTGGCCATTATGAAACATCCATCATCATCAACTGTTATACAAGTCGCTGCTCCCCTTTCATCTTTATATGAACCATCAAAAAATATCATCACATCCGAATGTTGGCTAATTTCTCTGTCTTCTCCATACTGAACCTGTAACCCATCCCCTGCATGTGCTTGAAGCCCCACTAACTCTATCATAAATTTTCTTATTTTGTCAATTACTCATTCTGGTATAATCGTAACACTAACACCATTGAACATAACATCATTTCTAGCTAGCCAAATCATCCATAGCACTATAGCATGCGACTGCAAACAATAGAACATCTGCATCCTCTATTAGATTCACCCGCTGAACACAATTTGTTAACCATTCAGTAATTGTGCTCTCACTCACCCCATCTGGTCTCCAACCAATACTACCAAACCAGATTGCCTTTGAGAAACTGTACCACCAAAATAAATGCTCAGGTGTTTCTTCTTCTTTCGCACAAAAAGCACACCTCCTTTCAACATGTTGTCCCCACCATCTGTTTTTGGTAAAAATTAACCCCTGCACCAGCCTCCACATAAGTAATTTAATTCGAGAATTGATCGGGTCATGGCCGAGCTGGTCCTGTGAGACAGGTGGCCGCCCAATTATCGCCCTGCCACATCTTCCTAACTCGGTCACGTCGGCAGAGCTCGGCCACGTTGGCATAGCCCGGCCGAGCTACACTATTATGGTGGCCCCCCTATGTTCTCCTTTCAGCCACATCAATTATATGCCACGTGGATGAGCACAACCATGGTTAAAGAGGAATAAGGAAGACAACTCCACCAGGGAATGGGACTCTATCCCGAATACCTTGGCGACTAACCTCATCCCGACAACCCCGGAAGCCCAATCCGACTAGGACACGGATCTTTGGCTATAAAAAGGTACTCCATGCTCAAGGTAAGGGATCCAACCTCTGAGACTGATACAGCTACTTAGCTCGGACCGGCATCCTCATAGCTCGGCCCGACCATCCTACCACCACCTACTGACTTGAGCGTCAGAGTTCTTACTCGGGGATAACTCATCAGGTCTCTGACTTCTATTTCCTTGATCACAGGTCTTAAAGCGCAGCCTCGTCCTTGTAGCTCGGCCCCGCCTGCCAACTAGGACTATCTAATCGCCCTCCTCGGTTCGTGCACTACCTCGAATTAAGCAGCATCAGATTGGCACCGTCTGTGGAAAACGCACAAAAAGCCTTTCCCGAAACTCTCATTCCTCGCCGTGCAATTAAGGAAGCGATCAAGATGCCTAAAAACCAGCCTAAGTGATCAGCTGACCATTCCTCGACTCGGGAGAATCGACACTCCCCGCACCAAGAAGTCCTACAGCCTTCAGTCGTAATAGATCAAGCACAATTCCAAGCCATGCAGGAAAAGGTTGATAGGATCTTCGAATTCATGCAAACACTAGGGTCTGCTACACCACTCAACTGGGCTGCCTCTCACGGCCCGATGCACACAAAGGACGATCCTCGGGCCAAGGACCCCAAAGCGCGTTGGACGGACGTAAGGGGAGAACGGTATGAGCATATGAGGTAGGACACAACCCGAAGGCCCACTGCCACTGCCCATTCCCGCGGACGGGACCGCTGTAGCCAGACACACCAGTTAGTGTGCATCCCCGCCAAGGAAAGGCTTGGCTAAAGGATGCCGCCCTTCGTGGTCTCCGTCGCCGAGTCAAGTTCGGTCAAGTATCACCCCACATGACCCAAAAGGGAGGTCATACACACTGCAGCCCTTCGTGGTCGCTCTAACTCTTCCAACAATGTCTGGAAGAGTTAGAGCGTACTTCCTCCCCTAAGAGTGCAATCCCCGTCGTCAATCAACCAGTGTAGGCCACTGCACATATCACCAAGAAGCCACCCTTCATCCAGGACATCGTGGACGAGGTACCCCCTGCCGGATGGCAAGCCCCTCAACTCGACAAGTACGACGAAAACCCAGACCCCTTCGACCATATTGCGGTGCTCCAAGCCTAGATGATGCTACATGGTGCGTCGAAGGGACAGATGTGTAAAGCCCTTGTAACCATGTTGCAAGGCCCAACCTTGGCATGGTACTCCTCCCTGCCGCCGAGGTCTATAGCGTCATGGGCACAACTAGAGACCCAGTTCCTAGCGCAGTTCACAGCAAGTCAGACGCATTGGAAAACCTCGGCCAGTCTCATGCAAGTCCGACAGAGAAAGACGAAGTCCCTTAGGGACTACCTAGCGAGGTTCAACAAAGAAGCACTTCAAGTCAGGGGCATAAATCAATCAGTCGCATTGACGAACATACAACATGGACTCCGCCCTTCCCCGTTCAACTTCTCCATCTCCAAGAATCCTCCTCAAACGTTGGTCGCGCTAATGAGCCATGCACAGAAGTATATCAACGCTGAAGAGGCCCAGGTGCAACTCAAAGACAAGGATGATAAGCCCGACAAAAAAAGGAGAGAGAACGACGAGCACAAGTCCGAGATGTTAGACAAAGACCCCAAGAGGCAAGATCGACGGACTGACCATAGACCTCGCACCCCTCTGCCGACCTATCGGAATTTCACGCTGCTTAATGTTCCACGGTTTAAAGTTCTGATGCAAATCCACAACCGCAACTATGTCAAGTGGCCCGAGAAGATGAAGATGCAAAGCAACAAGAGGAACTGAGACATACTGCGAGTTCTAAAAGGACCACGACCACGATACGAAAAACTGTTTCGACCTGCGCAACCATATCGAAGATCTAATTAGGCGCGGTTATCTCAGCGGCTTCGTAGACAGAATGGAGAAGTCAGCCCAAGAGGAAAGAAAAGCGGACGAAGCTCGGTAGCCTCTGCCCAGTGGCCCCCCAGCTGGCGTTATCCAAGTGATATTGGGAGGAAGCGCCTCCAAAGGGGAAAGCAGCTTGGTACGGAAAATATATGTTTGGTTGTGCGAGATCGACGATCGAGGTCACGGGAGGAGGTGCGACACATCTATTACCTTCATTGACGATGACCTTCGAGGAGTCCAAACACTGCACGACGACGCGTTGGTCGTCACAGTCGGAGTGGCCAATTTCGAGCTACAGCGGATCCTAATTGACACAGGGAGTTCCACCGACGTGTTGTTTGAAGATGCGTTTGAAAAGCTCAGCATCGCCAAAGAACGGCTTGCACCAGTTAGCACTCCTTTGATGGGATTTTAGGGAGAGTCCCTCCAGCCCACTAGGAGGATAGCTCTTCTCCTCTTGATCGGGGACGGCGACGTGACTGCGATGACCATGGTAGATTTCATTGTGGTGTGCTATCCCTCTTCTTACAACGTGATCCTCGGTAGGTCGACCCTCAACGACCTACAGGCAGTAGTTTCAACATACCACCTCGCCATGAAATTTCCAACCAAATATGGCATAGGGGTGGCACGTAGGGACTAGAAAATAGCGTGACATTGCTATTAGTTATCCTGCCGAGGACCACGTCCAATGACCGAGACATTGATGGCAGAAGCATATGACCTATGCGACAAAGTAAAGGCATAGTGTGGCCAACCTGTGGAAGACCTCGTCCAGGACCCCTTGTTTGCGGAAGACCCCAAAAAGACGGTCCAAGTTGGTTCCCTGCTAGGGGACCACTTCCGAGAGGAACTTGTTCAACTATTGAGGAACAATGCCGACGTGTTCGCTTGGTCGACAGAGGACATGCCTGGAATCGATCCCAAAGTTATCACACATCGGTTGAACATAGACCCCCATTACCGACCTGTGAAACAGAAGAAGAGAAACTTCGCCTCAAAGCGGTGGCAAGTGATCACTGTGGAAGTACAGGAGTTGCTCGATGTCGGCTTCATTAGGGAAGTTAAATACCCTGATTGGCTGGCCAACGTAGTGATGGTGAAGAAAAGCCAACGGAAAGCAGAGGATCTGCATTGACTTTGCCGACCTAAATAAGGTCTGTCCCAAAGACATCTTTCCCCTTCCTCGGATCGACCAGCTTATCAACGCAACAACAGGACATGAGCTCCTAAGCTTCATGGATGACTTCTTAGGCTACAACCAGATCTGGATGGACCCAGATGACCAAGAGCGAACGGCCTTTATCACTGACCGCGGCATGTACTGCTATAAGGTAATGCCCTTTGGCCTCAAAAATGCCGGTGTTACCTATCGGCAGAGAAACGTGGAATCGTATGTCGACGATATGCTCGTAAAAAGCAAAAAGGTCGAGCATCACCTGGTCGACCTCCACGAAGTCTTCGACACACTTAGAAAGTACAAGATGAAGTTAAACCCGAGAAAGTGCGCCTTCGGAGTTGGCTTCGGCAAGTTTTTGGGGTTCATGGTAACATAGAGAAGAATCGAAGCAAATCTGGAGAAGATCAAAGCCATCCTTGACGTGCCATCCCCCCGGACTCACAAAGAAGTGCAACGGCTCACCGGGAGAATAGCCGCCCTCAGTAGGTTTATGTCAAAGTCAGCAGACCGGTGCCTCCCATTTTTCAAAGC